ATAACATTTTTTTTATAAAACAAAGAATTTTTTTAAAATTTTAATTTTTAAACAAATTGTTAGAATAAATTAAAAAATTTGATGTTTTCTTAAAAACAAATAAAATTTATTAGAAAATAGTAATATAAATGCTAATTATTGGAATGATTGATTATTTTAATTAGTTTTCAGATATTTAATTTGATAGAATTTCTTTCTTATAATCAATTTAATAGCTAAACATTTGCCCTAAAATAAAAAATTGATATTAAGAAAATCAATCAGAATTAAGTTTTTATAAAGATATGTAAAAGGTAACTAACTTCCATTTAAAAATCCAAGTGATAATTAATATGTTAATATCCATTTTTTTATTAAAAGCCTTCAAATTCTTCATTCTCTGAGTTCTAAAATATAGACTTAAAGTAATTCAATAAACTTTTTATTATTGGCTTAATTATTCATGAATTAATTCAAATTATAAACTTACTTACTAATTAACTAACTAACTAACAAACAAACTAATTTATTTATTTTATTTAATTTTTAAGAAATGTAAATAAATATCTTATAAAATAAGAAAATATTTTTTTATTTAATAAGGTCTAGTTTTTTCTTCTATTATGCAAGTGACGACGAATATAAAAATGAGTAATCATAATGTCTATCGTAAGCTGATTTAAATTATTAATCTAGAAATTTAAAATTTATAAAACAAATTTTCATATATTTATTTTTATTTGAATTTAGAATATATGTTTATTATTTTATTTATATCTGAGGGATGTTAAAAGTAATCACATGATACGTAAAAAAAAGCTTTCAAATTTATTATCTGAGCTATCTAAATGCCCGAATCTCATTCATTTGTATTTAAATCTATAGTAAGTTATTTTAATTCATCTAAAAGAAAAACATTTTATTTTCTATCAATTTATTTATTTATTTATCTATTTGATCTAAATTAATAAAATCTTAAATCTAACATTTTTTATATAAATTGATTTTATGATAACAAAATAAATTTATAATTTTATTTTAATACTTTTATCATTTATTTTTTTATTATATTAAATAACCTTTTAATTTACAGTTGGAAAAAAACAAATGTTAATAATCCTTTAGATCAATTTAGCTCAGAAAATAAGGACAATTATCAATCTTTTTCACTCAAGTAAATTAAGCTTTTTAGATATGTAGGTAGGTAGATAAATATATAGATATTTAACTGCTACTTTTATTTAATTTAATTAAAGCATGATTAAATATAAAATAATTTTTTTATCATATTATGAATAAAAACATAGTATTATTTTTTGATTTGTTAAATAAAATTTTTGATTTGATAAAATAGACTAAAGCTTTTCTTTTAATTATAATGCATATATACATAATAAATAACAAATAATCATATTTAATAAAATTTAATAATAGTTTGAAAGAATCATTTAGAAAAAGTTTAAAATCTTACTATATTTTGTATATAAAATCATGGTAAATAGTATTCATTATTGCTCCTTTATGTTGATTTGAATGAATGAGAAAATATTAAACATATTTTATTTAATTTAATTTAAAAGGTTTAACTAATTATTAATGTTCTAAAAGGATATATTCTTTGGTTTAAACTAGTTAGATAACTACTCACATTTTGAAATTAGTTTAGGGTGAATATAGCTTATTTATTTATTTATTTACTTAAAACTTTAATTTTAATTAAAATTGTTATAATATTTTTTTTCATAATTTTTTAGCTAAGTTTTGGCTCAATTAAACTAATTAATTAATTTTGTTTCTACAATTTCTTAAATTAAATTAATTGAAAAAAATACTTACTTTCTTTATTTTTAAAAACCTACGT